TCCAGTAACCAGAGGAACAATTTTTATTTATCATAAGACTCCAGCGTTTAAGATGGGTTGGTCAAGTGATCAGAATGGGAGAAGAGAGAATACCTAAGTGATTAATCGATAGAAGAATGTAAGGTGTGAGACCGAGGATGAGATGGAAAGATGCTGTCGACCGGGACGCTAAGGAGATAAGTGGAGGTAGAAACTAGAAGAGCGAGGCCAAGGTTCGATTCGGGCTATAAAGATATAAAGACAGAGAGAGATTATCACATTTATGCTGGGAAGTTTGAATAACCTTGGGCTAAATACGGTAAGTTCCTGATGCAGTATCTCAAACTACCCAGAAGTCTGCACAAGGACTAGGCCATAAAAAATGACAAGGTATCATAGTGAAAATTTGAACTAACTACTCACTTAACTAACATCTTGGCATCTAATATATAAAACCACAGAAATATGCTGACCAGACTACATATATCCCAGGAATACTTTCTTTGGACTATCTAGTTAAGGAATGACGCGAATTCTAGTATTAATAAATAATGAAGAATTGGCATGCGAGATGGCGTGATATCCCAATTTTGAGTGTGTGGATACAGGAAAGAACAGAAACCCAGGTCATTACCTCATGTTACTTTTGTCACCGATAGCGTGGAGCAAACTGTGTTAAAGTGCTGGGAATTTGCATACAAAGAAAAATTGTGAGTGGAAGCGATGGCGAAATGCAACAGAAACTTTAATTATTTCGCAAATATGTTTAAGGGCACTCTCAAGCAGAAAGGAAAACTGTCGAGATAAATGCTTGATTCAAGCTTCTCCTAATTTTACCCAACCCAACTACACTCAACCAGGTCCAATCCAACTCTGTTAGTGCTTTAGGCATAAATACATGTATGATTAATTGTAAGAAGAGTTGTTTCATCTTTTTTAACTTTTCTCTAATACGGCTAAAGTACGTTTAGTATGTTGTATTTTGAGGATAGAATAGTTTTGATTGCCATAACACGAATGAAAATTGTTTGTATTGAACTTAGTAAAAATAATCCATGATCTGTTCCAACTCAGTGATAGGTAAACAAAATTTTGAATCAAACACCACAATCATATAGCTTGACAAATCAAGACGAATTTTTTCTCCGAATATGAGCATAATTTTATGTACTTTCAAGAATCCTGCCAGATTTACCTCTTTCATTTAGAATTCAGATCAAATCACGAAAAGATTAAAAAATTCCGAGATTAAAATGACTGTAATTTATTTGAATGGGTTGGAAATACACATATTAAGATGATACGGTATGAGCATGTAAAAAATGTAATGATTCTGAAGCCAATCCTGTAATTTTAAGCACACGGCCGTTCCGATGAAAACTTTCAAACCTGTTCATCGTTCGTTCTCTCTCTGCCTTTGGAGTTACCTATCGAGCCGACAGAAGGCGGCCGTTCGCGACCCGATCGGGTGAGTTCAAAGTCCAGAGCTCGATGTAAAACGAAATGAACGAACGAACCGTGTGGCTACTTTAGCTGCGTGCTGCTACGGACGGACACTTTTCAAAATTACATTACGACGTACGTCGAATCTCCGTATACATCTACTTATGTAGTCTACCACCGGCAAAGACGTCGGTAAAACGACCGATCGCCAATCGAGAAGGCCGCGAACTGTCTTATACAAGCTTCGGCCTCCTACGACCCGATTGCTCCAAGTGAAAACAACTGATAAGCCGACGTTTTATCGAAACAGACTCGATCCGTGGAGACTGGTGATCGTCGTCGTCTGTAAATGCAGACGATATAATAAAGACAGTCAGACGGTGAGACTGTAAAGAAATTATTTTTGAAACGAAAAGACGGACGCCTTTCAACGTTGTCGGAGGCGTCGTTTTACCTATTGCTTGGCTAAAAATAGACACGTCTGTATGAAGTAACGCGGTGCCGTTTCGCAGAAAAGAACGCCGTGCGTTGGAACGACATCGAATGGACAGGATTCCCGTAGCCTTTCTTCCTCTTTCCCCTCATCTCCCTCTTCGACTCTTTTTGAAGGCTCCGCTCAGACGGAATTTCCTACTCTATTCTGTTTTCGCCACTGGAGGAACTCAACAGTCCTCTACTTTTAAACAGATATGTACTAGCTTTTTGACCCATCAAAAAATCAACTATAAAATATTCAATTTTTTTCCAAGATATATTTCAAGTTCAAGAAAATGTATAAAATTACTTAGAACATGTTAGAAAATGTTACACAACAATGTGCAATCATATCGAATCGTTCTCTGCAACTTGAGTTGTGTAGAGAGAATTCCCGTTCTATTTTACTTCTTTAACAAAAGAATCTGGAAAATGTCAAAAACATCATAAATAAGTGAGGCAGGAATTTAGAACAAAGAAGTAATCCCAAGGAAGTTGTATAAGATGCAAAAATCGTAAAAAATTAGTAACAAAGTGGACCAAATATAATCAGTACTAAGTAAAGATAACATCTAAGCTGGTAAGCATAACTAATCAGTAGAAGGATGCAAGGAGTGAGGCGGAGAAGGCGGCTGAGGATGGAACTAGAAGAGAGAGGCCAAAATTGGAGGCAAAGGCTCGATTCGGGTTGTAGAGCCATAAAGGGAAGTAAAGATACTAGGTAATGCCACACGAAGAGTATTGAAAGTATTCAAATTTGGGAGTGAAAAAAAATTTGTATTTTTGAAAAGTGAGCTCTTGTCTTAGTGTCAATTTTCATGTATTTTTTTTTACTTATTACTAATATGTTTTAAAAAACTAAATTATTTTTATTACGTTCCTGTAACCCATTAAACACTACCCAACAGAGCGAACGGAGTCAGAAAGACGGAATCTCCTCACGTAGTTGTCCACGTGTAGTGCCATAGATACATATGGGGACGAGAGCGAGGCGAGTCCGGGCGAGTTCCACTCCACCGGTAGACACTTGTCCTTCTTTTACATAACAGGTTATCTTGCCATCCTTCTCTCGGAATCTCCCTTTCGGCCTTGTCTCTTCGGCTCGGCCCACGAAAGCCGTTTCACCTAAACCTACCACCACACCATTCGATATTGCGAATATCTTACGATTCTCCGCCTCTCTCGCTCCTTCTCTCACTTCTTTCACAGTTTGTTCATAACTGTTGTTCCACTGTTGTTCAATAAGTTTGAAAAGTTTATCTTCAAAGCTATTAAAAAATCTGGTGATGTAATTTTTAAATTAATAATAAGAAGCACTTGAAAAAATGGAAATTGGAATGAAGCGATGTGTTCTTTCTATTGGAATTTAAATCCGGTTTTTATTTTTCTAAGAAAAAGCTATTAATTTTTATCTTTTATTCATAATAAAGAAAAAAAATTGAGTCATTTAAACCACAAAAACTTTTTCAATAATAGAAACTAAATTAAGAGATATTTTTTATTTCGTATTTCCGGGAAGTTTAATTTCTTTCTTCGACTCTGGATCAGATTATTTGTTGCGTCATATTCTATGAATCATATCACTATAATTCGCGGAACCCAAAATAGCTTTTATTTTTAATTGTTTTATGCGAATATTGTATCTGTTTGTACTAAAATTAAAGATATCGGGTTATCGATGTTCAGTATTTCTGTTAAAAAACTTTCTATTTCCTCGATAAACGTTTTTCCCCAAGCGATGAGCTGCTTTCGAAGTATTACGTTATCCGATTTACATTACGAGTGAGTATATCTGTGATTCATAACTTTGGTATAGTAAAAATGAGCATATCATTTCCAACTTGACTGACCTTGACAAGTTTTTTTTCGAGATTCCTTGAATTGACGGAAAAATTCAGCAATTTGTAGGTACTTGGAAAATATGTTGTATATATTATTATTTTATTGATAATTTAAGATAATATTTATTTGATCTTTTCCAAAAAATCTAATTCCATTTTTGAAGGATTGTGGAGAGTTGATAACAAAGAAATATTTCTTAAAATATATTAATTGGGAACTCACAAAAAAATAATGTAAACGTGTTTGCTTATTGAGACAATTTTTGCAGCACTAACACGAACACCAAAGACCTGTTCAAGACTGTTGTAGCCCCACTTACGGTAAGATCCTTAGGGATTTAACGACTTAGGAATGAATGATTCTTCTTATTAGTTTCGATCGATTTACATTTCGTAGTGTTTCACCTGTCGTTTTATAATTCCACGCCACATATTGTGTAGTAGAACAGTAGAAGTGCTGCGCGTCATTACTTCTACGGTTTCAAGCAAAGATTTTCGTTTCATATGACATTTTATTATTGCTTTTCTTTGTTCATTTGAAAGTTCAGGTGACTTTCTACCCACTTCGACACGATTAAAAATCTTGTATAACAGCAGTTATTTACACAAAAATACAATCTTGCGACCTGTTCGAATACAGTTTTTGCTGTGAACTGTGAATAAAATGCTCTTTCGCGTACAGTTGTCAATTTCTATAGGTAACCGAGACATCCACTTTTGATTTTACTTTTCTAAGTGAAATAAATCATAAAAGTATTTGAAATTTGTACTACCATTCTTGAGTAATTCGTGATTTTTCGGTGGGTGTTCAAATACGGATTTTGGATACTGTAGTTGCTTTGGTTGCCTATACCACTAAAAACGTAATTTGAAAATTAGAAGAATAAGAAATAATATGAAATAATTCCGTCATTTTACAAAGATATACTGGAGTATAAAACCTTCAAGCCCAATCTTCAAAAAAGCTAATTATTCTCCAAAAAAATTTAAATTCACAGAATAAGAAAGCAATTTGACAGCTATCACTAATTTCTATGAACTATGCCACTTGTTAACAAACTTCACTCTCATGGTCATATTTACGAACAAGATATCGAAAGAAATAAACAATTATTATAGATTACAATTAATGAAATACACAAATTTTAATTTTACTAAAACGTAAATATGTTAAATTAAATAGGATCTCCATTTATATTTAAATTTTTCATATTAAATAAAGCGCCATCTATAAATTTCCTTCTCAATTATAGACGTCAAATTGACATTTAATAAAATTAATTTTATAAGGTTATAGGTTAGATTCAATTACTAAACAAGATTGTAGATTAAAGTAAATAGTTATTTGTAAAATGTTTATTGTACTTTTCGTTTAATGTTTTTATATAATTTATAATATTTTTTATAATAATCATTTCATTGCAATTATGGATACACAACTGGAAAGGTTTGATTATATTCATTTATATATTTTTTATGACATGTGTATTCTATTAATTTCAGTTATCACAGTAATGATTTAACCACTGAAGGTTTTGATTTACACGCCGGAAAATCGTGGATTTACCCCACAAATTATCCAATGCGTGAATATCAATTTCGAATAACACAAGAAGCTTTATATAAAAATACTTTAGTTAGTTTACCAACAGGTTTGGGGAAAACTTTTATAGCTTCAGTGGTGATGTATAATTTCTATAGATGGTATCCATCAGGAAAAATAATATTTATGGCCCCAACAAGACCTTTAGTTAAACAACAAATAGAAGCATGTTATGATATTACGGGGATCCCACAGAATGTAACTGCAGAATTAACAGGGACGAAGGCTCAAATTTCGCGGGAGGAAATTTGGAACACTAAAAGAGTCTTTTTTATTACACCTCAAGTTCTTCAAAACGATATAGACACCTTCCCTGACTTGTGTAAACAAATTAAATGTATAGTGATTGATGAAGCACATAAAGCAAGAGGAAATCACGCCTATTGCGAAGTTATAAGAAAATTACATGTTCACTCAAAATATTTTAGAGTGTTAGCTTTAAGTGCAACACCTGGAAATTCAACAAACGATGTGATTGATATGTCTATGAATTTATTGATTTCCCATTTAGAAGTGAGAACAGAAGAAAGCCCCGATGTTGCACCATATGTGTTTCAAAGACATTTAGAAACAGTTGTTGTTCCTTTAGGTGGAAAATTGGAAGAGATGCGAAATAAATACTTGAGGGTTTTAGAAAGATATGTTAAAGTATTAAAAGATAACAATATCATAACAGGAAATTGTGCAAATTTAACCAAAGGAAAAATTTTTATGACATTAAAAGATTTCAATCTTCGTTCAAAGTATCAAAGACATCCTAAACATAGTGAAATATCTAGAACTTTAACTATTTGTATTACTTTATATCACGGATATGAGTTGCTTATTAGGCATGGGATGAGAGGATTTCTAAATTTTTTTGAAGGTGATTTAAATTAATAATTTAATAAAAATAAATGAAGCTTTTTTTTGTCTTTTTTAGAGCATAGCAAAAAATCACTATTGGAAGGTAATTCACAGTTGTTTGCTGTGATGGATGAAATGCAACAATATATTGGTCCTAGACCTGATATTTCTTTATTACCTGATGGAACAATACCACAAGTAAATAAAAATTTTTTTTATTATGTTTATGCCAGGTTAACAGTCCATAAATCTTTAAATTAACAAAAAAGCTTCATATAAACATAGGTCGAACGCTTAATTTAATTTAATATAATATATAAATTTAATAATTTAATTTAAATTAATTTTTTTTAATATTACACGTGTTTTTCAATCGTTTCTATTCAAATTTGGTATACGGAGGTTTTTTGGCATGAAAAAGAGTCCGTTTGACTATAGCCGGTAGAGGGCGCTCTGTACGTATTCTTTACGGATTAAAATAACCATAACTTTTCTGAGAGTATACTTTTTGAATAAAAATTCTTATTCTGTGTACTTTTTTAAACAAAAAGGGTACTCTTATCAAAATGGCCTAAAGTTGATCGTTTTGAAGATAATCCGCTTTATATTATTTGATATACAGGGTGAGTTTTTTGCATGTTTAGTACAGAGACCTTAAAAACTAGCGGAGATAGAGAGACGATTAAATAGGGAAAGAATTGCAGTTTTATGAACTCAAATTAACGAGCTTTTTGTTTTTTGGATAAAATGCATGGTTAACTAGATATCTCGAAAAAACCGTTTTTTTGTTATATCGTTCGATACCTATGGCTCCGCTATTATTGATTTTAGGAAAAATGTGTAAAGGAAAAATTTGTAGGGTATTGCATGTTTAATAAAGCAGTCTAACTGATTTTTTTATTTTAGCAATAATTTTTGAGATATGACACAAACTTGAATTTTTCTAATGGAAACCATAGTTGGCCATGACTTTATAAAAAAAATTCTCTAATCTCAACGATTCTAATGATATACCACTTGACATAGATATGTTTATTAGTAAATAAATTGTAGCCATTTATTCTTTTAATTGGAAAACTGTTCAGGTAGTATGCTATGGAAACAATTGACAGATACGTTTGGTTATGACAGCTTAACGCAAACGTATGTTTCGTTTAGTTTCTAATTAACGTTGATTGAGGTTTTGTTAATTATAACCAATATGAATTTTTCTAATCAATAAAAGCGTGATATCATTAAGTGTTACATTTTATGCTATAAAAATGCAATACAAGCTGCAGAACAGTATTTCGCCAGCCTTCTCTACCTACTTTTAAAAGGCTGATAATTAAGTATGGTTTTTTCTGTAAACCAATTAAAGATGCAAGACAGAAGTAAATGTATTAGCACGAATTCATTAAGATGCATCGGTTTCAACACAAGTTACATCTGAAGCAGGCACGTCACAACGTACTGTCGTAAGAGAACTAAAAAAGCATAGATTTCATTCATATAAAACGGCAGTTTCACAAACACTACCCCCAGATGACTACAATAGGTGTGTACAATTGTAAGTGGTTTATTAACATGTGTGAAGCTGATGTTTTTTCGAGATATCTAGTTAGCTATGCATTTCATCCAAAAAACAAAAAGCTCATTAAATTGAGTTCATGAAACTGCAATTCTTTCCCTATTTAATCGTCTTTCTATCTCCGCTAGTTTTCGAGATCTCCATGCTAAACATGGAAAAAGCTCACCTGTAGAGCTATTTTTTGAGCCATGGACACAAAGTAAGTTCACTAATATTATTAGTTATTAGTAGGGCAACCAAAAATATACTCCAAAAATGGTAGTTTAAGCGCTCAAAAAATGTTCTCTAAAAATCAAAATATGCTGTTTAAGTATGAAAATATGCTCTATAAAAAATTGGAATTAAATCTTAATATATGGATATCTTTTAAATCTGTAGGTGAGGTTAAACAAAGCAAATGAAAAATGATATCTATTTCTAAACACGAGATATTTATTAGTTCGACTTATGAAAACTAAAAGAGAATTAGAAAATATTGAAGAAAACACAAAAGGTAAATAGAAAATAAAACAGAAACAGATTTAGCTTAAATTTTGATTACAATATCTGCTTTCTTGTAAAACATTTTTATACATTGAAAAACTTCGTTCCACTTCCACTGAAGTTATAGGTGCAAATTTAAATGCTAGTGCTTCACTGAGATTATTTCTGTGGATCCTTTACTCAAACATGTAGAAATTTCTTTCAAAATAGAAAAACCATGATTTTTTGAAACAACCATAGCTATTTTTTTCTTTACTAATTTAGCAGCTTCACTGTTTATTCCATTAATTAAGTCCTGAGCTTATATCATTACTTCAACCTGTGTAGAAAGCGCAAGTCCTGCTGTTTCCAATGTTTTTATTGATGCGCCAAGGAAGCCATAATTTGATGCAATGAAAATTAAGTCTGATTTTATTGCATTCTCATTTAGTAGGTCCTTTGAAATTTTGATTGACGCAGCCTACTCTTCATACAATGCATCAAACACATTCCCAATTATTTCGAAGTTAGTGGCATAGTAGTTTGCTGCTTCAATCCATGTTCCGCAGCGACGGTTGTGGAGGAATAGCAAGACAACTACTTACAACTTACTGTTCTTGACGGCGCTTTTAAAAATACTTTTTGCACATTGACGATAAGCTGGTCGACGTTAATACATACCTCGAATTTTTGACACTTTTGGATAAAATGTTTGTATGGTCTAAGCTGCTTTCACCATGTAGGGAGCAGCATCTGATACAAAGAGTAAAATCATATCTCTGTTGAAAGTCTTAACCAAAATCTTAATAGAATCATCGAAAAGTCTTGCAATAGTGCTATGATTCGCTTTATCAAGCACAAAACAAAAATTGTTTAGCGATTAACTTACATATCTTCCTGTTGCATCTGTTGCTTCGTCGATTGATATCCATAAAAAGCGACCGTTGATGCATTTCTGTATTTTTGTAAAGTTCCTGTTTTTGTGTATTTTCCGATGGTACTTTCTACTTTATTTTCCTATGTTTATATAAAGTTTTTGTGTTAATTTTAAAAGATCTATGGACTGTTAAAGTCCTGCTACAAAAACCTGAAAGACCCTGTATAAATTATTGTTAAATTTAGATTGAAACAAATTCAAAATTTGGTCATCCAAAATTTTATAAACTCCGCAATATATTACTCGACTACTTCGCAATCGATGATAACAAAGAATCCAAAGTAATGATATTTAGTGAATTTAAAGAGACCGTTTTGGAAGCATACGCTATGTTGATGCAGCATCCCCCAATAATTCGCCCTAAATATTTTATGGGACAAGGAGCAATAACACAAAAACAACAAATTACGGTAAAAAAATAAATAAATAAATAAACGGATTAAAAACTAAAATTAATTGATGATTTTTTAGATTATTAAATCGTTTAAAGAAGGAACTTGTAACGTATTAATTTCAACGTGTATAGGAGAAGAAGGTTTAGATATTGGAGAAGTTGATTTAATAATTTGTTTCGATATTTCGAATAAATCCCCGATACGATTAATTCAAAGAATGGGACGAACTGGAAGGAAAAAACAAGGGAAAGTAATCATTTTAGTAACGGAAGGGAAAGAACAGGAGTTATTAAGGGAAGCTTTGGCGAATAAAACAAATTTATCAACGAATGTTTTAAAATCAAATGAGATTCCAAAACATTTATACAAAGAAAATCCGAAGATGATTCCCGAAAATATTTTTCCAAGTTGTAATAAAATGTTTATTTCTGTTCCTAAAACCATCACGAAGAAAAAAAGCGGGAACATTAAAGATATGTTTAATAATATAACTAAAAATGAAACAGCTTCACAAATCTTAAAAGACGTTGAAATCATTGAAAGTGAAGAAATAATTCCTTCTTCAGTGTTTTTATGGAATCAAAGTAATTTTTTATTAATCTTGTTATTGAAATTGAGATGTATTGATTTAGTTTACAGGTGATCCTCTAAGCGATGATTTAAAACTTATTGGTTATAATAAACCTTTGGATATTTTAAGAGTTTATCAACCTGTAGAAAATATTAAACATTCAAACGATACAGATATTTTAGTTTCATTATTACAATTCGTCGATACTAAAAGATATAATTTACCAATTACACAACCAACAGGTAACTTTTTTAATGTGATTTTGAAGGAATTATTATTTATTTTTTTTTAGTTTCATCACAAAATCAAAATAAGAAACGGAAAATAACTAAAAGTGAATCTAACGATAATTTTAAACAAACAGATATACGAAATTTATTTAATAAACCTAAAATTAATTCACTTGAAGGTAAGAAACATTAATTAAATCAATTTATACAGTGAATTTCACTACTAATATACTAAAATATATTTCTCTACTTTGTTTCTAGTTCTAAGTCTAGTTTCAGTTCTAATAACTAGAATTTACATTTGCACTATCATTAGAATTAATACTAGACCTAGAACTAGAAACATCTGGGTTTAGCTGTATATCTTTCAAGACGGCTAAACCCTGTATAAAAACACTTTCTAATTTTAGTTGAAAATGAAATGGTCTTGGAAGAAATTAAAGAAAATGCCACAAAAAAGAAAATCGAAACTCTTACACAAGATTTATTCTCAGAAATAACTTTATTCCTAAACATTTGTTATGAAGAAAAAAAATTGTGCTATTATTGTGAAAATACTAATTTATGTAAGCGTTTACCAAAAGAAGAAACGACCAATTTTAATCCAATTGATTTGTCCCAATTGGATATTTCATCTATTGAGGCGTTAACAGAGAACGATTTTGATGCATATTTACAAGATTTAAGATTTAAGACGACAATTCAAGATTTAAATGATGTCGATTTCGAGCAATGTTTCGATGAAGACATTGTTTTTGACGAAGAAAGTATACGAATGGAAACTCCAAAGAAAGAAAATACGTTTCAATTCGAACCACCAAAGAGTATTAAAAAAGTTATTGGTTCGATTAATAAAACATCTCAATCGTGTTACACAGAAAATGTTGAATTAATTGATGATGGTGGAGTAGAAAAATGTTGTAATGATAACCTGGAGGTATTTCATTTAGAAAATATCGATGATTTATTTGATATGAATTGTTCTGAAGAATCGCCCGTTCTTTTTGATAGTTCTTTAGTTATTGCAACGGAAGAGGGAGAGAAAAGAGAAGATGAAAGATCATCATCTCCAGTTCTTGGGACATTTACTAAAAAGACACCGAAAAAACGCAAAGTTAATTTAAAAAGCAAGTTAGATTCGGCGTCAAAATCAAGTTTTTATGTCAATAAATCGAATCGTATTCAAAATGAGGATAAAAGTGTTGTTGAGAATAATATAGAAGATAATATTTATTTGGGAGAAAGCAGAAATAGTAATCTTAGTAATTATAGCGAGGATCTTTTTGATAGCCCAATAAATACACCAAAAAGATTAAATTTAAAATCACCTATAAAAGACAACAAAAAAAATTTTAATTGGGATGATAATTTTAATGAATCTCTTGAACTTGAAAATGAATTAAAAAATGAAGAAAATTATTATGAAATAAACTCAACACAACAAATCCTATCGAAAAAAAGAAAGAAATCTCAAGATGGTGTTGATTTAAACATCGCTGATCTTTGTGATGAATCATTTTTTGGGGTTATCCCTACAGTAAAAGAACCTAACATAAAGAAGGCTAAAATAGACGAAAAACAGGAAGAAGCATTTTTCAGTTTGACCCAAGAATTAAAAGAACCGAAAATGATTAAAGAAGAAGCAAAAATTACCCAGAAATCTCTTAATTTGGATGTTATCTGTGATGAATCATATTTTGGATTGACTCAAAAATTAAAAGAACCGAATATAACTGAAGAAGAAGCAAAAATTACCCAGAAATCTCTTATTTTAGATGATATCTGTGACGAATCATTTTTTGGATTAACCCAAGAATTAAAAGAACCGAAAATAAATAAAGAAGAAGCAAAAAATACCCAGAAATCTCTTAATTTAGATGATATCTGTGATGAATCATTTTTTGGATTAACCCAACAATTAAAAGAACCGAAAATAAATAAAGAAGAAGCAAAAATTACCCAACATTCTCTTAATTTAGATGATATCTGTGATGAGTCATTTTTTGGATTGACTCAAGAATTATTAAAAGACTACAAAACGACTTTAAAAGAACCCCAAAAAGAATCATTTAATAGTGTGTCTCAGATATTAAATAAATCTATTCAAATCTCAGCTAATGAGAATATTAATAAAGAAAGTTACCACGTGAAAGAAAAATCAGCGGATTCTATTAATTTAAATATTTCTGATATCTGCGATATGTCACTTTTTGATTTAACCCAAAAACCAAAAGAAAATTCACCAAAAAATATTGATAAATCAGACAATGTTATAATAATTGAAGATTCTCCAATTAAAAATAATTCCAACGAATTATTAAGTTCTGACGATTCTTTATCGCCTGTTTATGATTACACCAATAATATTACATCTCAATATCGGCGAAATCGTAGTCAAAAGAATGATGAAATTCAAGAAGAACGATTAAGTCCCGTTTTAACCCAGAAATTTAAAAAACCCAATAAATTTAAATTAAAATTACAAAATTCATGTGTTGATAAAGATAATAATTTAACTAATCCTACAGAAAATAAAACAAATAATTTAAATAGTTTAGTAAACAGGGATAGTAAATCGAATGAATCTCAATCTAGTAATACAATAACTTTCGATTTATTAGACGATGATAATGCGTTTGAAAATGTTTCTTATAAAACACCAGTAAAATCCACGTCAAGAATAAAATTAACGTTGAAAACACCGAGATCTACTAAAAAGATTACAAAAAATACAATTTCTTTGCTAAATAGTGAGAGTGAAGATGAAAAGACGCCGAAATCCAGCAAAAAAATTACGGGGAAAAGAATTTCTTTTGCAAGTAGTGATGATGAATTCGAAGAAGCACGGGGTTGGTGTCGAAAACAATCACCGGGCGTATCTAGAAGGAGAGATGAAAGTAATATAGGAACAAATCGAGGTTTACATAAAAAAGTAGGTTTTTTAAAATGTATTATAAATATTATTATATATTATTAACTATAGATCTTTTGATAAATGAGAAGGTGTCAGATCTGGAGAATATGGTGGGTTGTATGTCTCATGATCATACAAACTTGTATAAGGTCTCAACATTATATTCTTGAAACACTACACCGTTTCTATTGATCAATTCTGGCCTTTTTTGTTTAAGTACAGTGTATCTAGCTAATGACAGTACACAGAATTAAGCGTCGTCTGGTAGAAACGATTCCTTTGAAATCCCACCAAACAGATAACATCACGTTTTTTTGATATCAGCTTTCGAAGTATTCTTATCTTTTTTACTCCACGATCTCTTGCGCTTAACATTATTGTAGACAACCTAAATCACATCTCCAGGGATCTTGACGTTTGAGAACATATATATACTATCTCCTATATCGCTGACTAAGGCAGCAAAAGAGTGTAAACATTAGAGTGCAGATATATATATATCTGTGTCTGTCGTGCCCCCGTCTACACAAGAGACATGCGTGAACACGTGGTGAATACGCTTTTATCTTATTGGACGGTGAATTAAAAATTAATAGCAGTTGATGACCTTGATGTTTATAAAACACCAAATAAATGTTTGACATAAACATAACCTAAAATCTAATACAATAATGGCTTCTTGTTTTATTTATAACATTTGAAATCGACAAAATTGTCATGGTTACATAAAATTTGGTTTGTTATTTGGGTTGCCTAAACAAAAGTAAAGAATATAATGTTTAATGAACAACCTACATAAAGTTGATATTTAAAGCAATATTCAACGTCAATTTCACACAAAAGTACATATATTATAATTTATTTGATGCATCTACGATAATTTATAACTAAAGTCAATTATCTACAATAATTGCATTTCAAAGCTGCATAAAATACGCGCGAAACACTTCAAACTCTTTAAAATTTACGATTCGCGCAAGCGCCTTCGCGACATGAGGGCACGACAAAGACAAAACATATATCATTCCGTCTGCTTTTGATGGAAACGCTCGCCACTCATTGCTTAGATAGGGAGTCAGCGATATAGGAGATAGTATATATATGTTTGAGAAGCAAATCACAGACGTCAACATAACGGCACAAATTTCATTCCATAAGAACATAAAGAACTCATATGTGCTTTGAGATTAAACGTGTGCATTTCAAATTATCAAATAATGAAACAGTTTAAGATTTAGAGCCGAGGTCGCTTGCGCCCGAGGTATTTTGATGTAAGCTGTTAGTACATTGTAAGTTATCAACAAGTTAATAGTTGAGGCTCTACAATCTAAGGTGTTAAAGACTTAGAGCCGAGGTCGCTTGTGGTTAAGGCAGTGGCTCAATATTTTAAAAACAATATATTTTGGATATATCACCCAGAAGCCTTGATGAAGACATTTAAAAAGTACTCTTACACTTACATTCCTCTACAAATATTTAACATTTTCAACACTAAACCCGCAAGAACTCAAATACACTCGGCATAAAAAACGCATCACCTAAAATGATGACCTGCTTCAAACTGCAATAACATTTGTACGTATTGCTCGATTTGAATAAAGTTTTTTTATTTGAAAGGTCAACCCTTTGCCAATATTTCTGTACATACCTTCCCCATTTTGGTACTCTTCAGTTTCACCAATGTTGCATAACGTTAATGCGTGTTTTCTTCCTACGCTTTGAAGCTTTGAAACATAAGAAGCTTGTAGTCTCGTCTGTTCTGATCACTTGCTACTTCTTCCGCAGCGCCATCAGAAATTAAAGCAAGCCATTAAAATTGACGTTAAGTGTCGTTAACGTCGTTGACTGTTGGTTGCTAGACAAGAAAAAAGCCTTTAAGTGTTGCAGTAGTTGTTCAGGCAGTGGCTTTAGTGAAAGATGGACGTAACACTCGTTATGCTACGGTTTGTCGCACCATTTATCAGACGACCTGGGTCAGGAAGAAGACGCACCACACAACACCATGATGATCGATATATAAACGTGAGTGAACGCACAGTAAGAAGGAAATTTGAAGAAGCCCGGTTGAGATCACAGAGCAACTGGACCACAGTTTCCCAACAATTTATGTTATGCGTTTTTTCTGCCGCTGATTCAGTATTTAGATTCGTTGATCCTTTGCTATCTACATCTGGTATCTGATGATTATCACGTTGTTGATCAATTTAAGGAGAACATGCAATTTTATTGTTATTTCATGTCTTATTATCTCTTGATTTATATGTCGTTATCAAATACTTGAACAATCTCTTTGTATTTATAGAAATTGAAAAATCCATTTATTGATGATGAAGCTGAAGATACTTCAGAAGAAAAGGACTCTGAAGATTTCGAATTAGGTAGCACACAAGATTCATATGATGCCAGTTTTGTTACTCAAACCCATGTATTAAATACGACAAGTATGCACATAAAGTATTTAGAATCTGTCAGGTAAGTTAATTTTGAACATTAAGTGAATAGGAATAATTTCTTTATTTATATTAGAAGTCCTTTACAATTAAATGGGCGTTTTAAAATTCCCGAGCGACCAAAAAATCCCGATATCGATGTCTTCTCCCAAAAAGAAAATATCGAAGATAATTCTTATTTAGAGGTAAATTTTTATTTTTGTTTTATGTTATTTAAAAAAAATGTTTTTAGGATTCATTTTGTGTAAATATTTCCGAAAGTCAATTACCCGTTGAGAAAGATTTAAGCGAATTAGAGATAGCAGAAAGAATTTTGGAGGAAAATAAGAAACTTAAAAGAAATAAGCATAAATGTAAAGATATTAATTCCAACAAAACGAAAAAGAGGAGGATAATTGTTTTAAGTGATAGCGAATAAAATGTAGCATATAATATTTTTGGTAATAAAGTAAAAAAGAAAACACAAATATCCTTGCTTTAAACTTTATTTTATTTCAGTTTTGACACATTTTAAAAAATTCAAAAAAGATAATTTTAAAACCAACCAGATCTAAATAATCTAATCGCTACCGTTGAAGTAATCATTGAAATTATTTCGAGATTAGTCAAGGAACAAATGTTGCCAAAAATGTAATTATTTTTATAAATCTTAAAAAAAGAATGAAAACGGCGGATATTTAAAAAAATACATTTCACATCAACACAAATAAAATACTGATTCGAGGAATGTAACGAGAGATTCTTAAGAGTATCAGAAGACCCATCGTTTTGTCACTGGTGGTCAAAAAAATAATAATCGTAATTAGCTGCCTTAAGAAAATTTACTAATTTAATTTTCCAGCCAAATAATTTTTAAATATTTTAAATTAATTAATATAATTCTAATACGATCCAGCGTTTTTAATAAATAATCTAATCAAAATTAATTTTTGTCTTTTTTCTTTAATATAAAATAACTTAATAAAAAAATAATATTAATAATGTGACCTGTGATGTATTTATCTTCCTTTTAATGTAATTTTACGACAGTTATGTTTGGGGCTATTTACGCAACAGACTAATAAATAAACGTTTCTTCTCCTATCTACTAAACACTAAAACGCAATATACACATTATACTTTTTGGTTGACTAGAATAGAAGGACAACGACGGGGAAACTTTTGATTAATTTTTTTTGTTTGCTTGTTAATTTGTTTAGCTCTTCATTTCCCCAATATTTCGACACCGTTGTGGATAGCCATTAATTCAATTTCGTCGGTGATGAGAAGTATTTCTATGCAGCCTTGGAATACTTCCGAGGTAAAGCAATCTTCCCTAAAAAAATAAATAAGAATTAATTTCATTTTAACAAATTGAAATTAGAAAAAAAGTCGATGAAAAATCTCCACATCAAAATTTGCTGGAAAATTATTTTTTGTACCCCAAAAAAGTTTTTTGTTTTTGTGGATTGTTTAAAATAAAATTTTTTAAAAATTGTTATTTATATTATATAAAAAAATTAAAAATGTTAAAAAAAAATAATTAGTAATGCTTAAAAGTAGTGTTAAAAAAAAATAAAAACTTGTTTTTAATGTGTACCTATGCCCCAGGAAGATCTGCCCCATGTAGTACTCTTATCATTTCTTGGAGAGATGTTGTTTCATCTCCTAGTAGTAACGCGTCGATGCAACCCTTGAAGTAGTGTGTTGTAAAACATTTGTCTCTGAAAATGAATTAATTTTTTTTTCTAACATTTATGTAATATTTGTTTTTATAATCATCAAATTAATGTAAAAGAATACTTAAAATATTTAAAGGTTAAATGTTCTGGTTAATGGCAATGAGTCAATTAAGTATATAAACAGGGGCCGCGGTTTAAATACAGCCCCGGATTGCCGCGGAGGAGAAGGATAACCGGTGTCTATTTTTAGCAGCACAATAACTTCTTTATGATTGCTCCTCAAAGTCATTGACTACCCGTCGTCGACCGCAAAGGTTGTGCTTCTCTCCTTTACTCTTCGCGTTTATGCGTGTGTGTAAGTACGAGGAAACACACTGGCGCCAAAATACTTCTCTACACTTCTTCTCTTTGCGTGTATTGGGTAGAGAGTCGTTGTCGTCTTTATATTTTCACACCTGCGTGCCAATTGCTACGACGGCTCGTGTGTATTCATCATCCTTTTACTTTAAAAGACGATTTATTTTTTTAGTGCTGTTAAAGGCAAGGTGACTCGGTAAGGAGATAATTTTTACATAAACATAAAACAATATTGTACGAAATTAATTTTTTTTAAGGACAATTCCTTGGCAGAAAGTTCCAGTTTATATTTGAAAATATCAAAAATGTTTCAGCAAAACTATAGTTTAGACACTTGGAGGAAAAAAGACTTATAACAAAATTATTTCTGGGATATGATTACAATCAAGGTTCTAGAGAACCAAAATCACTTACCAGCTTGGATATTAATAAAGAAGACTGCATAATTATTGTTGTATAATAGTTCATAATTAAGTTATTTTGGCATGGATGATTGGTCACTCAATGTTACGTTATGAACAACATTTGAGAATGAATGGAAGAAAAAGTTTTAAATGGTAGAGAAATAACCAAGGCGCAGCGATTAGATTGATTTTACCCTAAAATCTGTCTTTTAAAATCAAGTACAGTGATAATGGCTTCATATCAGCAAGATGGAAAGGTAGAGGAGCTATCGAGCAATGATATTAATATTCTAAGATTTAATTTCTTATTAATTATTTCAGATTTGTATCTCAACCATCTTTAATATTACTATTATTGGTTAACAATAACAAAAATAGAAAAGAAACGGATGGCAGAAGTAAAGAGGAATTTCAGCCTTAATCTAAACTCTGAACTTCTGCAAAAAAGAACGAAGATGGTTATTGGTTATTATTTCATGAAAACATATCTTTGCAAGAGCGTATTTAAAGGCTACATGCTGATTGTAGACAAAAGTCTGTTGGCAGCTATAAACGGATGGAAACAAATAGAAAAAGTTAACAAAGCAGGAATCATTGTGGTAATACTTTCTGATTATATACGTCTAACATTTGTTCGTATTTGACTAGCATACAAAGATGATTTGGCAAACGAGACTTAAATTTTAACTCAAAAGTGTATCAACATCAAAATTTTTAATGATACTTCGTTCACAAGCTACCACGACTCCTATCTTTTACGTTATTTCTATGACATAAGCTAAAAAGTCTATTACTTAGGTTACTTAGGTTTGGAATTGACTTTATGATCAGATACATCTTGAGTCTCGCAGAAAGTATGCGATTTTGATTAGGAATAGGGAAGATCATGTATAAATCTGTCAAAAAGTGATAGACAACGAGTTATATTTTTGGTTCTCAATTCAAACTCTGAACTTCTGCAAAAAAGAACGAAGATGATAAAACTTATCTTTGCAACGTTTATTTTAAAGGCTACATGCTGATTAGTGTCGTTCTTGGATCAATTGGTAAAGATCAAAAATCTTTTGGCTGCAATAAACCACGAAACACATTTTTTTATCAAAGCTATTGAAAAAGTTAACAAAACTGGAATCATGTTCTTATTTGACTAACATACAAAGATGACTTGGTAAACATTTTGAAATACGAGACTTAAATTTTAACTCAAAAGTGTATCAACTATGTACTTTTACGTTATTTTTATAACATGAGCTTGCCAAAAACCCTATTAGTTATGCTTTGGAACTGAGTTTATGATCAGACACATTTTGAATGTCGCAGAAAGTATGCGATTTTGATTAGGAATAAGGAGGATCATGTCTAAACCTATAAAAAAGTGATACACAGTGAGATATTTCTAATAGATTTAGAATTTTTGATTTTGTACAATTCCTAATTGATTTGAAAAGTTAAAAATTATACATTTTAATGTACAAAAGAAATTTGAAAGTAGTTGGGAAAACTGGAATCTCAAATCTAGTCCAATTTGACATTAAAGTGATAGTTATAAAGTTATAGAAGTCTTTTTAGGCAATAAAATGTTTAGATATCGATATTTACCTGCATAGTGTATGGATTTCTGGTTCTCTGAAGAGATTGTAGCAATCCTCGCAGATACGATCTAGGCGTGCAAATACACTTTTGTTGTATTGTCCCTTGCACTCCAAATGGAAAAAGTTCTGCCTCTTTCCGGATGGGTATGTCAATACCAACTGCGAAACCAACGTGAGCGCGATGCACACCCACACTGCTTGAGTGCTTGCACTGGAGAATTGATGAGTCATCTAAGAGAAAATTAAAGAAAATGTAGTTTTAATTATTTTTTCATACTATACATATATATATAGATAACTTATCGCTATTAGCATTGCGTATTTTCTTTCGAAACGCGATAACTTCCAGGTAATTGTAAATATGTCAACATAAAACGTATCCCTATTCATTCAAGATATTTGATTTACTTGTTTACTAAATGTTGAATGAATAAATCATAAATATTCCGTATTGTTTGTTATTCTAAAAATAGGGGTTCCATTATAATATAATTATAAAATAAATAAGATTAAAGATAAGAGTAATCTGAAAATCATGATGGTTAGAAAAAGATGTAACGAAAAACGCATACCTATATGATATAAATGGTTAAAAGCGACGTACACTTATGGTCCGTTTCCTTCTAACTATTAATATGTTACGATTGTTCGCATATAAGGAAAATGACTTGGTAAAGTTGGAATGACGGCGCGGTTCGAATTCCATTCTCCAAATACAGGACGACTAAATTACCTAAACGTCATTCGAGTATGAAAAATTAACTATAAAATTTTGTTTTCAAGTACGATAAGAAAAACAATTTCTCGTTTCAAGTGTTTTTATTGAATATTAATGCTTGTAAAAAAATGGTTTTTTTGATTTGGTTTTTGAGATAAGAAATCCTACACCTCCACCATTTTTTTCTTTTCAAATAATTAACTCGTTAACGTTCTACTTACTGATTATATAGTTTCCACCTCCCCACAACAAACAAAAATATATAAATAAATTAAGTGGATCGTCTAAGATTAGACGATTCCACTCGACTCCTTCACTGAGCACTGAACCTTTCCCGATCGACCATCAACTTTTATACCGATCCATTTAATTGATTTAATACCATTAATGAATATGAAGAAAATCGAAACGAATAAAAAAAGCTGTTGTGTTAGTATTGGTTATATTGTTTAATATTGGGGTAGATTAAATCGAATGATTAAAAACAGCGGGATATCGACCTACATATTTTCTTTTATTAATCCGCTTTTATCAAGAGTTTATATATTTGGGGAAAGGAGACGTCTGGCAAATAGATAGTCATCGAAAACGGTCCTTGAAACTCGAATACAACACTAAATCTTTTTCAACTTTAAGCTTTCTTCACAACATTGAAACAATTTTCATCAAGATGAAACAAAAGGAAAATAAGAAATAGTTATGTTTATAAAACTTTCTTTTTTTTTCATCTTGATAAAAAGAAAATAAAGAGAAGTTTTATAACTTTCCGGAAGTAGTAAAGATAAATCGGAAAAGAAAGCGCAAATATTAGATATAAAAACTCACGTAAATTCGAAGAAAAATACAATACAAAAATCCAGTGATGAAAGCAGATTGCGCGAGAACGTTCAACTGTATGACTTCAACTGTAAAACGGGAGAAACTCGAAGTCTCTGAGAGAAACGGATGTGCCACTACTGAACACCGTTTACTGACTGAGCCGTCGTGTTTCAACCGAAGTCGAATACTCCCTACCACGATTCTTAAATTCAAATAAAGAAAAACGATATTCAATGAATAACGCAAATGGAAAACACCCCTTTAATTATTTGAATTAAAATTCTTAGTATAAAACACACACATTGTGATGATCTGATAAGAAAAGCACTAACAGTAAGTACACAAACAGTAAAATGACGTACACAAAATACACAGAATTAATTCTTGAATCTATTTTCGTTCCTTAAAACCATTCATAAATTTATAATTTACGTTTTCGCTTCTTTTATAAACCCTTAAGATATTTTAAATCTTTTATAGTGTAATTATGGAGTTTCACTTTCTATTTTCTTGATCGTAATTTTGTCGATTTAACGACGTTTGTCGTAGTCGCAAACGACCGGAAATAAATCCCACATTAAAACAGGAACGGCGGCCAAATCATAATAATAACAATCGTGTATGTGTATTTCTGTACCAAGTTGTTAAATATAAAAAAGAATCCTCTTGGTTCTTGTTGCGTCGGCTGCGGGTACGTTAGGATCGTCGCAATAATTGCTTAATTAAGATATTAATAAGGGAGTCAATAAACGCGTTTAGCGGGACGCGGAGAAGAAGAAGTGGTATTATTTCTGGAGCAAGTGCTCCGGGCGAAACGGACGTCTTTCGCTCCTTCCACTTTATACCAGAACCAGAAGCAGACGGACACCTGGCACCAAGCAGTCTGGTTAGTGCTATTTTACTTTTTTACTATGTGGCAACAGTGTCGTCGAAGCCGAGAGGCGAGATTAGATCCAAACGTTTGCCAGGTCGAGTTTAAAAGCTTAGCAGCCTTTTTTATTATTTGTTATTGTGTTGACTGGGCTCTCTCTTTTGCCTAAAAATACTACCTAAACATTTTTTTGTACGATTTCTAACTTACTTTTATTACCTTTTTTTTATACTTCACTCAAAATATTTACATTTGCTTTCACTGCTTAAAAATAACTGTTACATTGTTATACTATTTTATATATTACTTCGTATAAGTCTTATATAAAAGTTGATAATGAGAATTCTTTGATATTGGCATACTAAGTATCAACTCTATCTGAAGTTATCAATCTTCACAACCTAGTCAATGACACCAATACTGAGATTACGTGACGACGCAGATATAACATGGTGGTCTATCTCAGTTTCAAAATTTAGTCAATGTCTAATAGAAAAACAAAAAAATTATGTCATTTTCCAACTACATCATCAGAATTAAGGCAGATGCGTGGATTGTAGCACTGCAGTCATAAATACGAAACTAGCAAATCAAAAAATTGCAGATAAGATGTAACGTTATAAAAAGACAATTTTTTATCCGGTAAGTTATTGAGTAAATCATGAAATTTAAAATAAATTTCGTTTAAAGTTGATTTTAGCTTTATGGCTTTTACAATGATTGCTTTTACTGTAATGGCACATTCCCAAAGAGGTGCTTGGAAAACAAGAATTAGGTTTGTTCCTTCCTAAGTTCAGCGTTGAGTACAATTTTAAGCAAAATCTTCAGGGCTTGCGTGTGGAAAATAAATATGGTACACAAGATGAACTGCCATGATGGAGATTTTGATAAAGCTACTGTATCCCTTTTGGTTTAACAAAATGCTCCCTACAAATTTATCAAATCGTTCCATATCCTCACACTATCAAGTTTCCTCAACGCAAACATTGAGGAAAAATCGTATTTGAAAAATGCATTTTATTATTTAATTATTTTATATTTAAATTATTTTTTACAGAGAAGCTCACAACATTGCAAACATCCAAGCAGCCCAAAGACTTCTAAGCATGGAGTTATTGTTAACAATATTATTAAGAAGTATTCAGAGTGGGAACATTGAGGTTGGCCACTTATTGGAGATGAACAACAAACAATATAAGTACGAAAGCTTGATGGCTAACACCAGCCAGGAATTAACACCGATTGATTTAAAACTAGAACTAACACTAGACCTAAAACTAAGAACTTTCTGGTGAAGCCATGTCATTTTTGAAAAAGTGTTTGAAGTTTCAGATGCCAACTTTGATCAAAAATAAGTTCGAAGTGAATACTTGTTAACCAAAAAGTATCAATTTTCTTGAATTTTTATATCTTTTATTGAACTAAAACTAGAACTAACACTACACCTAGAAATGTTAACTAGAAATGTTTTCCTAGACCTAGTTTGATAGAAGTTAGAGATAGTTTGCTAGAATGTTTCTAGTTCTAGTTTTATACTTGCACTGTCACTAGAACTAACATTAGACCTAGAGACATTTGGGTTTAGCCGTACGTCCCTTAAGACGGCTAAACCCAAATGATTCTAGTTCTAGGTCTAGTATTAGTTCTAGTTTTGCACTAACACTGACATTAGAACTAACATAAGACCTAGAACTAGAATCATTCAGGTTTAGCCGTCTTGAGAGATGTGCGGCTAAACCCAAATGTTTCTAGTTCTAGTGTTAGTTCTAGTTTTGCACTAACACTGTCACTAGAACTAAGACAAGACCTAAAACTAGAATCATTCTGGTTTAGCCGTCTTGAGAGACGTACGGCTAAACCCGAATGTTCCTAGTTCTAGTTCTAGTCTTCGTTCTAAAGTGCAAGTGTTAGTTGTAGTTTTAGATCAAGAACAAACAAGTTAAATAGTACAGGATATCTCGAGACTTAATTATATTAAAAGATGTATTAGAGTTATATAAATGAAATATTGAATACATTTTGAACATTTGGTGTTACAACTTTTATTGAAGAATACTTATTTAAGTAAAATACTTGGAAGAATTTTCAAAATTTTAGGAATATTTTTTAATAATTTTGTTAACATTCCACTGGTTAATATTTCCTCTATCTATCTACAACACATTGACTAGAACCTGTTTGTTTCTATTTTTAAAAAGCTCCATTTAGATAAAAACGTAAACGTAACCATCCAAACGTTAATGGTCGCTTTATCATTGTCTTCACCTTTTGTTGATAACTCACCCACTTTTCTTCTCTTGGCATTACTCTGAATAATTTTTCCTTTAAATTTTTTTTAACTTAAACTATTGCAAACACGTGAACCCAAAAACACCTGGTCACATGGATTAGCATACAGCCGCACCGCAGACTAGATCTTATCGTACCACTTACTAATGTATTTAAATGTGCCATCAGATTGTACAAGCGATTTCACCAGCATTTTGCATTGCGAACTTGATTAGCATAGTTAATGTCACTCGTTAACGCGGATCTCCTTATGTACACAGCACCATCACCGCCCAGCTGTAATAATAGCAAGACTAGGACACTTGCGAAAAAATTGTAAACACAAACAGAGATCTGATTACTCTGTATAGGCTTGGTGTGACAAATATTTACCGGAACGGAAATGCCAAGAATGCTTCTCTCTATAGTTTCTCAAACCTTATCTTCACAGCGTTAGCGAAACCTTACAAATATCACCTTCGTTAATGTTTGAGAAAAATAAATGGATAAAGATTTAAAAATAACGTTTCCTCGTAATTTAGTCATTTCAATAGAATGTATTTACAACTTCGATCAGATAATTATAAATACATACCTACAATCAGAATTTGTCATTGTGAATCAGAGCGTGCCTCGCCTGATATTGCCAATGCCATGGAAAGTTTATAAGCCAAGAAGAAGAAAATACTCGGCATACCGTTTCGCACCGCCGCTTCTTCTTCTTCTTCGTCATTCAAAGAACCGCGAAAGGCCGATAAAGAAATGGTAATTGCAGGATTAGCTCGGTATTTACGAGTTAAATCCCGGACAAACGTCACCTGGTATATCACGTATTTATCTCTTTATTTATGTTACGCGTATCATTCGGAATAATGATGAAGAAATTCAAACTAACGGAGAAGTATAATGCGTAGAATTATACAAAGATGGTTCTTTGACGACGAAGCGAGGAGATCTTGACGAGGTATCGTATAACTAATTACGTATGCGAAACTTTCTTCTCGGCTTTTCTTTTACCTCCTCCACTGTGAAGGCACAGCTGGTTTCCTCGACCAGGTGTTCGACGATTTTTACTTAATAAATCGAAGCCGCTGAGATTAAGATGTCCGGCCGTTTTTACCTCGTCCGGTCGTGGACAGCCAAGCTGTCCGCCTTACGGCGCGTTTTAATTGAATGTTGGCAAAAGGAAGACGCGAAAGAGCGGCCTCAAGTGTGGTCGTCCAACGACTTGACCACACATACAGCCACCTCACGGGATTTTGCGTCTCGTTTCGAACCGCGCCGTGCCGCTTTAAGACCCAACAGCGACGTTAAATATATCATTTTAGGGATTACGTTGATTATTTTCAAATCTCGTTTAATTTCCTTTGTTGAATAAGAACTATATTTTCTGTAATGTTACGGTTGGGATAATAAAATGGAAAACCGAAAAATTTTTAGCTAGTAACATTTTATACAAGAAAAAAAGTAAATGTTTTAACGGTTCTTATGATTTTCAATCATGAAATGACGATAAAACCTGAAAGATAGAAAGAAATAAAGAGAGCGTTAATGGTTGGCGTCGCGAAAAACAAACAAAGAGGATTTGAAGAAGAAACGGACTGGGGGACAGAAGAGGAGGAGGAAATCACCTGCGCACTCCTCGCGGTCATTTTCTGATGAGTCAAAGGCGGCTTGTTAAAGAATAAATGATTGCTCGTAATAACAGGCCTCCGGCCGCCGGCGCTGGGAAACGGACCGACCGTAACAACTTCATCGTTCGCCAACCTGTTTGCTGAAGGAAGAAAGAGAAAGAGAGTGAGAGGGGCTAAGACCACACCGGTGGTTAACAAGTCGCCGATTTTACGGATTATACCGGTAGGTCATTTTAACCAACAAGAAGACGCGCCGACGCTCGCTTGTCTTGGTCGCTTCTTTGCCTTAGGGCACCTCTACTTCTTCTTCTTCGTCTTTTACCTTTTCTTCCACATCATTCGTTTATCCGTCTCTCTCGTTTTTCGTGTTAAATCCGACACTGTTCGCGCTCTACGCCACTTCAGACTTGTAAGACGTGCTCTCGTTAATTATAAAACGCCGCCGTTCGGCTGAATTCATGGACTGGTTTTACGTGGCAGGATGATGCTCCAACACTGCGGCGGAGGTCTAACTCATTTTTATTTCGTATCATTTTTATGGCCTATCATTTTAACTTATAAGGAGAAAAGTGAGTACTTCTGATTACGTTTTATAACATACTTAGATTAACGATTTCTGGTATTATAAGAAGCGCTCAAATCTAGCAATGGAAGCTTTTCTTGACCTTGAATACGATTAAACAAAAGATCACATTCTTTTTTTTTTCTGATAATCAGATGTTAATTGAAATCAATGCAGCCCAAATTAACTAAGAAGCTAAAACAACCTTTTATGTCTTCTCACGTCCTAATAGAGACCATCTTGAGATGATGCTTGGAAATATTAAGAATTATGTTGACAGAAAATGATGAAACTGTTGAGTATACAGAGATGGTAGCTAAACATGGGTGCTGTCGTAGAGATCAAGTGATAAACTTGGCATCTTCGAAAGACAGGTATTTTGTAAAGTATCCTGGGAAAAGTTTTGGACCAAAACGTGTGCAGAATTTGTCAAAGATGTCCCTCTCGGCATCCATCAGAATACAAAAGCTGACGTGGGCCGGACATGTGGTGAGAATGGAAGAGAGATTTCCAAAAATGCCGTACAATGCACGAATGCAGAGAAGAAAACGCCATGGAAATGATGGAAAGACGCAGTAAGATGTCGCAAGAGATTTTCGGGGTTGGAGGAGAGCAGCATCTGACAAGGAAGATTGGATCCAAGGATTAAGGGAGACCTGAACCTGATTTGGACTGTAGAGCTAAAGAAGAAGAGAAGGGATTATTTTGGAATGATTTTAGATGATATTCGAAGATATCTGATTTATAATTGAAGATATTAAAGATGATGTTAAGGAAATCAGGGATGGTATAGAGAAATATTATGAGTAAAACTTTGAGATATAAATGATAACGTTAAAAGATGTTGAAGGTCCGTGACAATGTTAAGATATATCCGAGACATGATAAATGATCTTGAAAAGAACCAGAGACGACAGAGAGTGATATTTATTGTTGATATTTTTTTAACTACACCCCCTAAAGTTGTTGAGAGCAATTGAGATGCCCCGTTTTGTTAAATTAGTTTGTGTTGCTAGATAAATTCATCTTTTTTTTTTCCAGTTGCGATGATTACACATTATCATTCGGAGCGAAAAGTATATATGTTACTGTAAAAGCCCGAACTACGGTAAATCTTAGTTTAACTAGTAAATCTTAAGATTTACCAAAATGAGTTGGTAAATGTGTGGATTTTTTAAACAAGAGATAATTTTTCTGGCTTTTACCAATGCTAAGTTTTACCAATAACAGTTCGTATTTCTTAATCATTTATTTTAATAATTTATTACAATATAATTGGTAATGAAATTATCCATCTATCAAATCCTTAAATGGCTTAAATGATTATCTATCTTGCAAGCTCATTTCTTTGATAAGCGAAGAGAAGAGAAGGGATTATTTTGGAATGATTTTAGATGATATTCGAAGATATCTGATTTATAATTGAAGATATTAAAGATGATGTTAAGGAAATCAGGGATGGTATAGAGAAATATTATGAGTAAAACTTTGAGATATAAATGATAACGTTAAAAGATGTTGAAGGTCCGTGACAATGTTAAGATATATCCGAGACATGATAAGTGATCTTGAAAAGAACCAGAGACGACAGAGAGTGATATTTATTGTTGATATTTCTTTAACTACACCCCCTAAAGTTGTTGAGAGCAATTGAGATGCCCCGTTTTGTTAAATTAGTTTGTGTTGCTAGATAAATTCATCTTTTTTTTTCCGGTTGCGATGATTACACATCATCATCAGGAGCAAAAAGTATATTATGTTACTGTAAAAGCCCGAATTACGGTAAATCATAAGATTTACCAAA